AGAGAGAGAGAGAGAGAGAGAGAGAGAGAGAGAGAGAGAGAGAGAGAGAGAGAGAGAGAGAGAGAGATTGGTGACTTTGGGACTTCACGACATTTGGATCCAGACTTGACATTGGGATTCAGACATTTGACGAGGGATTATTTGGGACCTGTACCGAAGACTTGGTGTTGACGACATTCCCGTCTTCCCCTCTTCTTCGTCTAATCCCCCTTTTCTTCGTCTGTGTATGGGTGGGGACTGGCGCATTCTTCCTGTATGAGCGCCAGGCCCCTTCACGCCATGGAATGATGATGATGTATTTCTGGTCTGCATGGCAACATCGATTGTTCGGATCATTGGTATTTAAGCCTTCCGTTGTGCTACCTTGTGGTATGTGAGAGAGGTCGGTTCTTGTTCTGGTCTGCACCTTCACGCCGTTTACGGTATGCGACAGCATGTGTGTGCGTGTGCAAATAGCTGTGTGTGTATGCGTGTGCGTGTATATATGTTTGGGTGGGGGTATTTCGTGTTTTTGTTTTTACTTATTTTTGTGAATGCCACGCGCCCCAGGATGGTGCATGACGCGTGCATGCTGGGAGGGGGTGCGCGCTCGATTTTTTCCTGCCCCCTGCCACGTGGCGTGTTTGAACACGGACCACGGCCATGTGAATGCAGGCGTTCGAACATGAATGTGCATTCACCGTGTTCAGACGGTCACATAGTATATGGCTTCAGAAGTTCATTTAGTCACAGAAGTTGGCAAATCACACGTGAATGCAGATTTAGCCGCAGATTTTTTCGCCCTGTTTCGAGAACTGCTAAAGTTGCCTATTCCGATCGCCAGGTGTGACCCAGGAGCCGTTGCCCCATAATAATAATAATAACGATGAATGGCTTAATGAGAATCAATGTCCGGATCCCTCTTCTACTCCTCGCACAATGTGAGGTCCACCGTAGCCATGAATCCGGGAGAATTGGCATATAGAGCCCACGCGGAAAGCTCTGGTTTTCCATGCCCAAACTTTTCCCGTTTGGCAAGAAGGGCCCACAGGCATTACAGGCCATTGGATGTAAAAGTCTGGCGGCCGAGATTGGGTCCCGACCGCTTGGCTTATTCCTATCGTATTATGAACCTGGCGCTGTGTCTGCGTCAGATTCATTTCCGGTAGGCCTTTCTTGCCAAACGGACGCCCAAAACCCGAAAGGTTTTGGCGTTCACGTTTCCGCCAATTATCTCCATGAATCCCATCTTCCTCCTCCTCCGGCAAGTAATGGCTATGGCGGACACGAGGGACCAACCCCTGATGTGCAAAAGGCAATGCAAATGCAGCTATGTACGCTGCTCCTCAGGCTGCCATGCCAGAGTCTGTCTCAAAGCCTTCTTGTAGCAGCGCAGCCTAACTAGGGTCTTCCAGCAGCAGCGTCAACCAAAAAGATGAAGATGCGGACCTCAATAGCTCGGTAACTCAGGTAAGTACCTCGCCACTTTCCTCCTTAGCCCCCTTCTTCCTCCTCGTCCTACCTGCAATTCTCCACCATAGCCAAGCAGAGATTCCAGCCTTTTTCCCCCTCCTAGCGCTGTAACACCCTGCGAACCAGTGCTCCTCCCAGCAGCACTCTGGGAACTAGTGCCCGCTCAAGCAGCATGTCGCCCAAACATGCACACCGCAAATGAGGTAGAGTCCAGCGCTCTACCTGGAGATATATCGCCTGCGGTGACTTCCAGGCTGCGAGACCGCAAAGCAATCGACACCTCCTCCCATTTCGAGGGAAACATCATTGCAGGCTCTAATATAGTCTGCACAGGCCCTAGACTCGGACTACTTGGACTGGTACCCGCGTAGACCTGGGAAGATGCCAGAGCATGGCAACAAGGATCTCAAAGTTCAAATGCATGCAGATGCAGAAGGGAAGGAGTGAGATAGATAGGGAAGGCAAACACTTTCCACTCAGATAAATAGGATGTGGAAGTGCTAGGTGGACATGCATATCTGGCGCCCGTTCAGGGTGAAGAGGCACAGGAGTCAAAACTACTTACCTTTACCTTTCCTTATGCTCACTATCATCTGATCAGAAGGGACACTGGGCCCGGTTCCCATCATGAGCTGTACCATGTCTTTTCAGTGCTCATAAATGTAAAGGGATGCTGGACCCGTTTTCCAGCAGGTGCAGCTCCCCACCAATGGAACGGAGCCATCTATCAAGCAGGGATAGTAGAGGGGGTGTCTGCTCTTATCAGCACCTCCTCTACTCCCCGTCAATGATGTTTACTTAAAAAAAAAAAAAAAAAAAAAAAAAAAAAAAAAAAAAGGTTTCACAAGGATGACAGGGCCTTGCACATCTAGAGTGGCTATTAGCATCATGCCGGTTCACTTTAGCAATAGCATATCTAAGCGTACAGTACAGTACGCGACTTCGGCAGAGGTTCGGAGAGCGCGCATTCTGAAGATAACAAAATCCTGGGCCCAAAGCAGGAATTACTCCATTATTTCAGAGAGCAAGGAACAGTCAGAACAACAGCACCCAGACAGTCACTGACAGTAGAACACAATGAGTAGGGAACCAGTCAGCCAAGGTGCGAGCACAGATGGGGGAAGGAGGAAAATTGGAACGGGAGAGGGATCAACAAGTAGGAGAATGAGTAGAAAGGAAAAAAGGAAGAGAAAGGAAAGAAAGGGAAAGGGAAAAGAATGAGAGGAGAGAAAAATGAAGAAGGAAAGAAAGGGCTGAAGGGAACAAATCCGACGACTGGAAGGCCGGAGAGCACAAAGAGCACGACTGTATCTTCTTGAATCCCAAGTGTCAAACATGTTAAAACATGAAGCTCATTCAAAAGCTCCCATCAACTGGCATCAAGCGAATCGAGCGCAATAGTGCCGAAACTGCCAAAAAGCACTAGAAGATAGCCAAATCCCCCAGACAGAACAGAAGCACTAGAAGATACCCAAATCCCCCAGACAGAGAAGAAGTACTGGACCTCTAAAAGTACTAACATTTTGTCTTCTTCTGCTCAGCCTACAGCCACTCAACTGCTACCCGTACCAACACCACCACACTACTCGACTGTGCCCTAAGCTACCCCTTCGGCCACTTGAGTGTTTTTCCTCACTGCAACCCTGAGAGTAAAGGCCACAAGTAAGTACCGGCCCCACAGGCCTCCCAAACAAACAAGTGCCCTGGCGAGCCACACACACACTCAGGCTAACAAACACTCAGACAGGCGCACGGACCAGCAAGCACGCACACACACAGACTCAGAAAACTCGGCAGAGCATGGAAATCTCAGCAAGGCATACATTCCAGCGGCAAAACTCAGAAATCAGCTGTGTTCTCAGTCCATGTTTTTGCTGCTCCTTACAGACACAAAAAATAGGACACAGTATGGAAATCTAAAGTGAAGACTCTGTGTGTGTGTGTGTGTGTGTGTGCGTGTGTGTGTGTGTGTGTGTGTGTGTGAGAGAGAGAGAGAGAGAGTTCTGATCTGGACACACGTTTTATCATACACCATCCAGTAGCAGAAGCAAACACAACTTTACTTGTGAAATGGAGAGTTGATTCTGCAACTCTAGGAGCAGCCTTCTTCTTAGGGCTAACCTTACTTAGAGCTAGATCCCACTCAGTCTGACAAGGACGATTGGAATAAGTGTCTGAATCTGGGTGTGTTGCACGCAGAGGATCTGATGCAGAAAAGCAGATCAATCACAGTTTTCTGCACGTAGCCACAAGCACGTCCCGATTCAGACACTCATTCTCATTCTCCTTGCCAGTGGGATCTGGCCCTTATATGCTTGTACAGCTCGATGACCGTGTGGTGGAGCCGGAAAACCTCAGACCTTAGGAGTTTTTTCAGAAGTCTAGGCAATATTCAGTGGCTGACCCGAGGAACACACACAATAGTGGACCACCGACATAATCCGTCCTTTGACATAATCCCTCCTTTTAATGTAACAGTTACCGAAAGAACTTAAGTTTGCTGAACATACACAATAGTGGACCACTGACATAATCCGTCCTTTTAATGTAACAGTTACCGAAAGAACTTAAGTTTGCTGAACATCTAAAGGACGGAATATGACATTGTCCAGGGTCTACTATTCTGTGTTCCTAAGGTCAGCAGCTGAATCCGTCCTTTTAATGTAACAGTTGCCGAAAGAATTTTGCTGAACATCTAAAGGACGGAATATGTCCAGGGTCTACTATTCTGTGTTCCTGGGGTCAGCAGCTGAATATCGCCAAGACTTCTGAAAAAACTCCTAAGGTCTGAGGTTTTCGGGCTCCACCATGCGGTCATAGAGCGACGAGCTATACAAGTTGAATTGTGAGGTGCCCCACCTCAGATATACGAGTTTTTTAATAAATTGGGTGATTACTTTATTAAAAAAAAAAAAGAAAAAAAAAAAGAAAGAAAGAACTTAGGACATGGACAGGATCTGTTTTAGGACATAAGTGCAGACAGATACATGCAGAAGACGCCGTAATTGGCGTCACATAAAACTAGGAAACTGGTAGCGTGAGTATGCTCTCCGGGCATACTCCCATAAGGACTTTTCTGCTGATTTCTGGACGTAATTGTGGTCAGATAGGTATTGCTACGGCGTGCAGTAGACTACGCTCTTACTGTTCGAGTAGTAGAGTACGCTTCTACTTGTGCAGCAGCCACGGTGAACACCATGGGCTTGGCTCCACTACTCAACATTTAAATGCATTTGGATGCACGCTTTCCTGACCAGGTGCATTCTGAACAGCCCAACATTATTAAGGATCTGGACGATCACATGGTCCAGATGCATATAGAGTGTTGTTTAGTGGGAGCGAGGCCCCATATATGCGTCATATCTGCTTGGAGCCTTGGAGTACGCTGAGCCTCGTACTGTGGGTCTACAACTTCCCCTTCACCCGAATATAACGCCCGGTCATTACAGCTGTATTTGGTGCAACTTTCAATCCAGATACGGCGATAATTACCGGGCGTGCTATTCGAGCCAAGACGGTAGCCGGCCGGACCCACTGGACGCACTCAGGACCCCACAGAATAGCAGCCAAGAGTGCACGTGTGCACCTTCCCGCGGAGAGTCCTATCCCTACCATCTTCCCTTGAGGATAACGTATACAACGTGTATGTTTTCTCTTCGAACAGCCGGAACATTCGAGTGCAACGCATATGCGCTCTATTCGAGTCACCAATCCCCACCCAACACATGCGTTATGTTCGGGGGAAGACGATAGTCCACAAAATGGGAATGTCGCGATACTCCATCAGGAGAATATCTTCCCACGAACACACCTTACGGTCATTATAGCTGTGTCCACTGTCCAGGATATCTTTCACTCTAAATACAGCTATAATTATAACCGTACGTTGTATTCGGGGAAAGAAGGTAGACCTACAATCTCGTATCTTTCTGAAGACACTGCACAATCTCACAGTTTCCCTCTCAATTTGCCGATCAGGGAGCTGCCTGATTGTGCACGCATGCATGCTTTGCATGCATGCATGCATGCATGTCACACGTGGAGTATTCTTCAGCAATAACCGCAGTCGTTGAGGACGACGGATCCCGGGGGGGCGTTGATCAGAGTATCGGCAGGAGCCGTACGATCGCAGAACTTAAACACTGGCTCCGTGTCATCGGCGACTTGGACGTAGACGTTGTTGGACCTTGCGTCAGCGGCAGCTTTGTTGCCCGAGAAGGTATTTCCACGGCAAAGGCTTCCCCCTCCTACGTCGCTTTCTATGGCATTCAGCCCTCCGCCCTTCCCTTTCGCAACGTTGCGGGAGAAAAGGGTGTTGTAGACGATACAAGTGCCGTCGAAGCAGTCGACAGCCCCTCCTCCTCCTCCTCCGTTCTCCTTGTTGCCTTGGAACGTGCAGCGGTCGATCCGCAGCTCCCCTGGATTCACGCTGATCGCCCCTCCTCTCTCGTTGGCGTAGTTGTTCTTGAAGGTCGTCCTGTTGATCACACCACCCGCATCCGTATAGGGCACGAAAGCGCCCCCTCGCCCTTGGGCTTGATTGCCGTCGAAAAGGCAGTTGGTGATCCGGTAGCTGCTCTCCTCGTCGACGGTGATGGCTCCGCCGCCGCCGATCACCGCCTTGTTCCCTCGGAACACGCATCCGTCAATCTGCAATCTCGTCCGAACTTGGACGTAAACCGCGGCACCTCCGGAAAGATCATTCGATCGGAGGTTTCTGAATTCGAGGTTCGTCAACGTCACCCTCCATTCTCCTCTCGCCGGATCCGTCAGATTAATCCCGGTGTATCTCGACTGTCCGTCTATGACAGGCAGCTTGCCCTGTCTACCCTTCACTCCCACAAGCGTCAAATCGCGACTCAATACAGGGAGCGAGGCCAAGAGAATCACGTCGCCCATCACCTCGTGCCGACTTACTGTCGGATCTTTGTACGCCGCAAGGAACTCCCGCTCGCCATAGGCGCTACCAGCTGGGAACAGACTCAGCGCGAGAATCGCCATAGCCACCAGCTCCACGCACTGCTCCAGGTCGTTGCTACTCCGATCTCCTCGCCCTCGTCTTCTTCCTACAACCCGCAGTCGCTTGTGCATTCCGCTGGCTTTCGCCGATGCCGCCGCTCTCGCTTTCTGCCGCCCAGCCATCGAGTCCTCCATCGTCGGACGATCCCGTTCCCTTCCGTTAACTCGCGCCGATCTCGCAGTCAAACAGACGATGGCATGCACGATCCGGATGAATTAGTCGTAACGGGAAACGGTGGCCGGTATCTGGTCAGCTGATGAACCTCCGGACGACGTCTTGATGATGAAATAATCCCGGACAGAGAAGCAATGGCGCAATAGGCACGTGCATGGGTCTCCCGGCTCGCGCCCGCAACTTGCCCGATGCAGCAGAGTGAGAGGGAGAGACATAATTTATGCATTTGGAGGAGAGCTGCGTCGCGCCGAGAACACCAGGGCTTGTATTTCGGCAAAATTTTAGTTATGCCCCTGAGAGGTGACGCAGTTCTTAGATTTGCCCGGAAGGTCAAGATGGAGTACGCGTGCATTCGGAGGAAATACGCGTCGCCCCCAGAACACTCGGGTTTGTGTTTCGGCAAAGTTGAGCTTTGCCCCTGAGAGATGAGGCAGATTTTAGATTTGCCCTGAAGTTCAAGATGGAGTATTTCTGCATCTGGAGGAAAGACGCGTCGCCCCCAGAGCACTCGGGTTTGTGTTTCGGAAATTGAGTTTTGCCCCTGAGTGGCGAGGCATGTGGCATTGAGCAGTGCCCCTGAGTGGCGAGGCATGTGGCATTGAGCAGAGACTGCTGAAAAATTGAGTTTTGCCCCTGAGTGGCGAGGCAAGTGGCATTGAGCAGAGACTGCTGATGTTCATAGGGGGAGGGGACCGGAGGGGAGGCACAGTGACTGGCCCATCGAAGAAGCTCGGTCCTGATGCTACCGGCTCACCCCTGGCCGGTATCGCCCACCTGCTGTAGCAGGTATCGCACCTGCTGGTGGGTGCAGCTCCCGCATGTTCCCTCGTTGGAGGCTTGAGCATGGATGTGGCTGCTACCGGTTCCCCGTAATACTATAATGACAATAAAAAAGGCCTGAAAGGCCGTCCTGTCCAGATTTGACAGGTAATTGAATTGGTGGGGCTTAAAGAATTAGCCTTTTTTTTTTTTTTTTTTTAATCTATATTTGCCCCTCCGTCGATCTCAACCATCAGAACACAAGGTGACAGAGGAGGGAGGACGGAGGAAACAGTAGACTGCGAGTTGAAAAACGTGGGATTGTGCCTCGCTCCACTAGTCAACATTTTACATGCACCTGGCCCAGCTAGGCTGCGGAGAAAAATAGAGTAGAAACGTTTCTAGACGGATGAATTTGGGCGCTCCTGTAGTGGCCCATATGTTTTCTAGAAGTACTCAGTCTGGTGGTCTAAGGTAATATATATACACATGCAACATCACACACGTGAGTCATGCAATATCCAAGTAAATCACAGAGAGAGAGAGAGAGAGACAAGACTCAAACACGACAAGACAAGCCCAACCAAAATCATGAAACCAAGTAGGATATTCAATAAGAATCATGAATCCCGAGCACAAACATGGGGACACGACTAAAACCAAGTAGGATATTCAATAAGAATCATGAATCCCGAGCACAAACATGGGGACACGACTAAGTAACACGTGTAGAACCTCCCCAGGAACTGCCGACGACACTCGCGGCAGAGAACTGCCGACGGAATCGCGGCCACGCGTTTCGGCCGGCCACCCACCAGACCTCTTCAGGAGTCACTCCATCTATTGGTGGGAGCTGCACCTGCTGGAAAACGTGTCCAGCATCCCTTTGACAAAAGCATTCTGGTAGAATAAGTTGGGTATCAATGCAGTTTGACAGTACCAACATTGGCCCACCTTGGGCCTGAGCATCCAAATAATTCGCACAGGCCATTTCCTGGGTAAGGATGCAAGTTGGGCACCGGGACTGGGTAGAGCCGGTATTCCCATCTTTTTTTTTTTTTTTTTTTTTTTTTTTTAAGGCTAATTCTTTAAGCCCAACCAATTCAATTACCTGTCAAATCTGGACAGGACGGCCTTTCAGGCCTTTTTTATTGTCATTATAGTATTACGGGGAACCCCGTAGCAGCCACATCCGTGCTCAAGCCTCCAACGAGGGAACATGCGGGAGCTGCACCCACCAGCAGGTGYGATACCTGCTACAGCAGGTGGGCGATACCGGCCAGGGGTCAGCCGGTAGCATCAGGACCGAGCTTCTTCAATGGGCCAGTCACTGTGCCTCCCCTCCGATCCCCTCCCCCTATGAACATCAGCAGTCTCTGCTCAATGCCACTCGGGGGGACCAACGGCATATCTCTAGGTGGCAGGCGCCAAGCTTGCCCAGGAAGGTACATGAGGCCAATGGGGATTGAGCCCAAGACCTCCTGAATGCCACTTGCGTGCCTTACCAACTGAGCTAGGTCGCTGGATGTATTCCCATCTTTGATGGGGCTCAGATGCAATTCTCAATTTTTATACATAGATGAAACAAAGCAGGGGCATCCAGGGTCTACCTTCATTGTCCTTCAACCCTCAGGTTGAGCCACACCCTTATAGAGAGCAGGAGAATGAACCCACCAAAACTGTCTCTAGAAAATAGTTATAAAACAAAAGCCACATCAGCTGGCCTAGCTCAGTTAGGGCCTCGTTCCACACCACTTACGAATTCTTACATTGTAAGGGCGCCCTAACTGGGCCAGGGTGATTAATTTACCCTAACTTTTTTTGGTTCCACAGCCCGTGAGGAGGACCCTACACTCACCCACCATTACATCTCAGGTGAGGAGGGCCGGGTGTCAGGACCTCTACCTGTCGGGCAATCCGTAGGGTCCCACCCTTACATTTCTAGTCACCTCCGAGGGCTCCCTAAAGATTTTTGTCCTTTTGCCTGGGCCGCCCTTATTTTGTAAGGGCGGACCTTAACAGCCGAGAATGTGAAAACAGGCTTGGGGATCCATTTTGTTGTCATTAGGGAGTGGTGGAACGATGATTTTGTAAGGATCCTTACATTTGTAGTGGTGTCGAACCAGGCCCTTAGTACTTCAGAAAATAGTTATAAAACAAAAGCCACATCAGCTGGCCTAGCTCAGTTAGTACTTCAGTGAACTGTTGAAATGCAGACCGAAGTTCAAACCCCATACCAGAAGCAGATGAGTGAAATACTACAATTCTGAATTACCTAGGGCAGGTCAGCTCAGTGAATCAGATGCTGCCTCAAGGTGGTCGCACAAGAAGGAAGGAGAGGGGGAAAAAAAAAAAAGAGGGGCAACGGCTGCTGGGTCACACCCAGCGTTTCTAATAGGCAACTTCAGGGGCATGGTCCCACTAGCAACGGGATAGGATAGAAACGAGTTTGTGGGGCAGTTGAGTGACCCAAATCCTGCCGTGCAGTACTCGTGATCCCACGGTTAGTATTTGACATGTATTACCCGAGAAAGGAGATCTTTGTTCGAACTTCCCCTCCTCCTCTCCTTAAGACTGGGCATTACCAGTACCCCTTGCATTCTCTCGGGGTTTAAAAAAAAAAAAAAAAAAAAAAAAAGACTGGGCATGCCCGTGCAAAGAAGCATCCCGCCTGGAAGCACTCTGCCGTGATTTCTGGTGGGAGGTTTCTGTTTCTTTTTTCTTTTATTTTGCCTTTCTCCTGTTTTCTCAGCCCAGAAATTCATAATGAACCTGTCAGCCCGCTGCCACTCAGTGTCACACTGGATCAGCCACACTCCTATCCGACTGCTAATGGGACCATGCCCCAGCAGCTCTCGAACAGAGCAAAAAAAGCCACCGCTAAATTTGCATTCGCGCCACTTCAAGAAAACGCCACTAAACTTGCACATGTTGAACCTCAAGCAATGACATCAGTGCCACTTTGTCTTTTCTTGCTTATTTCAAACAAACAAGGTGACTTAGGAGCAGTTTCCCCCCCAAAAAAAGAAAGGAAAAAAACTCCAAAACAAAACGCTGGGCACTGCAGGACTCAGGACTTGGATGCAATCTACACTATGGGACTTTGGATCCGGTTTTCAGCACTTGTAGGGCCCCACGGATCAGCATATTACATATGTTGCTTATCCTCTTGATTTATTTGGAGAAGCATCAGTGACGTATTCACATCTATTGGATTTACGTCTGGAAGATTTACGTATTCCTCCTGCTTAGAACCTCGTTGAACACTCCTCAGGGACGCGACTCCAAGGATTTTGTCGTCGTTCCACCTATCCTTGGAGCCTGTTTTCAACAAGAAAATGTGAAAACAGTCCGAGGACAAATCCTCGGGCTCTGAGGATTTCCCAGGCAAATCGTCCTCCGGTCCGAGGGACGAATCGTGGGGTGGCGACGTCGGGCTTCGAAAGAAATGTGCAGGCGGTAGGTGGCCCATTCGTGGTACGGCGGGCGGAAGATGGACATCGTGGGCCGTCCTTCTCGAAGAGGTCCTCCAACGGCCTGGCGATTCACGACATGGCGCATTGACATCTTCAGGCGGCCTTCGGGGGGGCGGGGGGGGGGTTGCCGTTCGGACGGGCCTCCCAACGGTCAGAAGCTCAAATTCTGTAGCCGTGCTGACAACGAGGCGCTCATTGCACGAATGTGTTGTCCTTGTCGTCTTCCTGGTTGCCATGTGTCAGCACTTGTGGCAGATGCGACGACGCAAGTGTGTGTGTTGTCTTGCCTTCGTTGTCGGTCATGGCTGACATGTACAGCAGGCTGCCGCTGCTACTGCTCATCGCTGTGCTGCTCCTGTTCGTTCTTATCTTTCACATTTGTTTCCTCGGGCGCCTTCCTGGAAGGAAGTCGAGGAGGTGAGCGTTGCTGAAGGCGAGGAAGATGGACAATCATGTGACGAACAGCACACCCTCATCAGGGCCGGGGGGTTCTTCACACCAGCCATGCAACACAGTACAAGGTGGCAGGTGGCCGTCCGACCCGACGCTGTACAGCCACCTACCGTCAAACGAGATCCCATTGCCTCCAAGTGACGACGAGGGCGGAGAGCATCGATCTTCAACGGTTCCTCTGAGCAGCGGTTCCACATAGGAGCGGATGGGGAGCGAGTTCTTCACATGGCCGACAACACCGACGTACACAAAGCTTCTTGAAAGATGGACCCCGGATGCCTACGACGCTGAGGTCCTGCATCTCAGCTTTGGTCTCAGGTCCGACAGTAGGCCGGCCGTCACATACATCGTAGTCGT